AATGAAACGCCTTGCTTCATTGGGTCTGATAAACTGAAACGTACCGCGCTTGACAAATTGGAGGTCGTGAACTTGGCGAGATACTCTACACGCTATTCACTCGCATACTCTTGCAGTTCATGCGGTTTCGCCCCTTCATTAATCTCAATAATTTCGGGATAGTGGAATTATTGGTTAAGGCGACCGTTTAACAGAGTCTCCTGTCGAGGTTTATGATAAACAAATGATTTATCTTCCCTTTCAGTGGGTATCTCGACAACCTCAAGTCGCCTATTTCTCTTGAGGTCTACCACTTCACAGAAAGTCTCAAATCATGACCGTTTCCAGACAGAGAAACCACGAGAATTGACTTCACATTTGGTTCGGTTTTGTGTGAATGCTGGGTCCGTGTGACTGAGAGTTTACTGATGCCTGCTTTCCAGAAACGGTTGTAACGGGGCCAAACTGGAGGATGCGTAAAGCTGCCTGACAGAATCAGCTTGGTTCGTTCCCTCCTGAATAATTTCCACCCGTCATCATTCGTCGACTAAGTGCAGCATCCGACTGGCACACGTCCCTGGTGCTTTGCCAGACAAAATAAACTGATCATAAACTCAAGCATGGAACATCGTGTTCTACTATTCCTGCCGATCAGTTTGTAAAATGGCGTACGCTCATTCATATTTTCACAGCTGGCGAGCAATATGACTGTGGAATAGATTAGTAGATGGGATTAGATCCAGATCTCCGGTTAATTGACACTCCACACAATCACTGATAAACTGGCAAGTGAACTTCTGCAAGATCCTCGAAAATGCCAGTGAATGCCATAACTGCTTGTTGAGACGCATCACTGGAGTTCCGGATGATCAAGTGCTAGATGAACGTGGTTAATGTTCACGAACGGCGACCTGATTCATTGAAGCCACTGACAACGTCTGACAACGTGTTTACACCCTGTTGGAATCCATACTTCAGTTGTTTCCATTAACAATAGGCCTGAGGAGCACCGATTTCATGTTCCTTTCGGAAATGTTCAAGGAATTCTGGTGGATATTGAATGACCTGTTATGGAGACGCGCTTCTCGCAAAACCGCCCACTCTATACACCCATAGATTGATGGCGGCTCTAGTAGACTGGTGTTATTTTAGATGGCTCTAATTTTCATTGGAAATTGTCGTTAAATCTCGAGTACCACGATTCTGCAACTCTGGCATGCGAGAGTTTTAATCGTGTAACTACCATGCCGTCAGACTTCAGGATAACTCCCCATTTAATAAATATCTTACTACAATGCTATTCTCACTGACTTCCATACGTCCACACCTAGCCTGATCGTCCATAAAACACGCACACGTTTCATTTGTCCAACAACCCACGTTCAAATCTACACCTATTTTAAATTACTCTTTTCTCAAATCAGGCCTAAAAATTCACTTCAGACACTCAGATTCATTGCCTCACCCTTCGTGAGCCTCTCACGTGAAATTGGTGGTCAGTATGCTAATGCGACAGAAATTTAGTCAGTGGCGGATGTTTTCAATAGTCACCCCGATAGTCACCATCGGGGATCAGACGTGTTCTGATCACGGTGATAATTTTGCATCGGTTCATTAAGGAGTCGCCGTCCACCTCGTGTTGGAACGTGTTGAGGTGTTTGGAGGCGTGCTCAGTAAACTAAGTGTTCGTAATTCGATCTCAACCTGAGTATGTCGACAGCTATTCTGGGCATGGGCCAACTGGCAATATCCATTATATGATGAGTTTGGAAATTCGACCATACTATTACCGCGTCTAACGAAATATTCAAGGAAGCAACTAAACACCCAGCTCATGTGATACTATTCCGTCCATTTTTTGCATTCATCAGAACGGTCGTATAATAAATTCACCAATTTAACGACGTTGCCTTCTCTGAATTGACAATAAATCTGTGCGAAAATCCCACCTCACGCATCCCACATCCGTAGATCATTTGAAACAGTTACCTGAAACTGCACAAACAAAACCCAGTTCTTATTCGATGATGTGATGTGCACCTAATTAGTTGGAATCTCATCGACCCTCCATTTGGATATTCTGACCATAATTTTCACAATGTAATGCGAACGTTGTTTTCGGGTGAATAAACATCATATCCACGTTGTTTTCACGTTAGTTTCATCATCCGCGAATCTTTTGCGACTCTGAGATTATCCGACCGATCACATTCGTCTATTAGAATTTATTCATTCAAAGCAGCATTAAATGGAAAACCAGTCAAATTGCGAGGGTTAGGTGTCACAAATGCGTTCATTCCCCGCTCGAAATCCCAAAGTACTTGTGCCAGAATGCTGCAGGATTGCGACGCGCCGATTGCATGATATAAATGTGTGATTACTCCAACCTGAGCGTGTATATTGAATAAGGATCACGGCAGAAGTGACTGCACAGGAAATTTGCTCTCCAGAAATTTTGACTCCGCAATGTGGCTTAATTCATCGATTCAATACTCAGGAGCAGCCGTTTCCTATTGCGGGCACCCATAAATGCCAGTGCCTTCGGAAATATTACAAGTTCGCCAATCATCGGTAAACGCAAGAATGTCACAATCAGTTCCACATACTAAACATTGCTGTGGTACATAGCAAAATCCATTTGAGGGTGTCTGTATTCACTTATCGAACGATGAATTATCAGAAACTTTCGTGAATTTCGCGCTTACGGTTTGTTATGATCAAGATGGTTCATCACGACTGCCAAATAATAGAGATTTATTCGTGCCAGTCCTCTCGAGATTCAGCGTGAGAGCTTCGTGTAAATGTGGACACGTTTTCATGAAGCAAACGTACACGGCCATGTCAGCAGTCGGTATCTGTTGAAGAAAGACTAGACCGAAACTACGCGCTTGACCTCATGAATGTAACCATGCGGTCAACAAATTCCAGCGTAGGAACACACGACGTAGATAACTCTGCATTACTTCCCTGGTTTCCGCGAGAGCTATGAATGCTTTTGCACGGTTATGAAGGGTTGGACATAATTTCTCCAAACAAGAACGATTACGACGTTCTTTCTTGTGCTTGGGCTGGGAGTCGCGGCGTATCACCGTATCTGTAACGAGGCTGATTATGTGATGGTAAAACTTGAAGTTAAACCTCGACGAGAATTCTGCGCCGAAATAGTCATTGCGCTATCGTTCTCGATGCGGCCGATCTGGTTATTCAGTTGACTGCATGGGAAACAGGTTTGAATGCGAATTTCAAAGACCATGGGACGAAAAACTGTCGCGGCCTAATAAACTACAAGTAGCTGAAGCAGGGAATCGTCAGTCGTAAATTTGAATGATGTAAGTGTCAATAGTTCTTGCGTCCCCCGAAATGCCAGACATTATTCTGCAATAATCGGGCTTGTTGAGCAACCAATCACGAAAGGGGCAACAATGGCCAGCTTATTGTCGCTTGATTGACCACCGAACGAAAACATGCCTCCGTCGATGGCGTAATGGAACGTGCAAACCTCAGTTTGAATCTGTTTGTCGGCTAGTAATACTGCGACAATTACTGGAACGTGCATCGTGTTACTATCATCCGTAAGACAAATAGGAATGGCCAATATCTTTGGACTTGATTACTGATCGTTGAACAGTGGAAACTTCCTTCAGGATATTCCATTGGTTCAGTCATCAATGTGTGAAACCATAAAGTACATGAAACAATGACTGACCCACTGACGTTTCAACCGGTCAAGAATGAGAGGAAAGGCAGAATGAGTCAATAAATTACGGGTCGTAATTTCAGATGACCACATGCCCAAAATCGACAGTGGGCCGGATGTAAAAGGTCCCATTCATTGCAAAGAATACTCAGGCCACCGGTCAAACGGTTTTGTTCATATCAACTGGTGTTAAGGGACGAAATGTAGTCCAGCGACAGACCATATCCCAAAGGTGCGTAACGCTGTCATCTGAAGGCAGAGAAAATGATGTGTGGTAAACTGAATTTGATGATCGGATAAAATTTCCTTGTAAACCCTATCAGTATTCTACATCCCGATGTGTGGTTCGCCGAATATGATTATCTAAAATTGCGAAACAAAATTCAGAAGACAGAAAATCAAATCTTCATTTTGGATTCAGATCTAATTGTACACTCCTAGGTGAATCACTGTGAGTTACTTTCCGGATGTCCCTACGGGAAGTTTCCGGTTTATCGAACAGTCCGACGACTTGCTTGTATATTCCGTGCGCTCAGAACGCTCAGGCAATATATTCCGAATGGGATATTCACCGAGAATTCCACTGTGAACAGGTCATTTGCAGAATCCACACTGCGTTTCGGGGCAAATTGTGAAATTGGAAATTATTTCGTTTTTCGCGAAACAATCAAACGTTTTTCGGTCCCCCTGAAGGTTGTCATGCTGCACAAATTTTTCAATGTTTGAAATCATGAAGTGAGTTTAATTAGCTCGTTTTACATAACTCCTGTCTAAGCGTTTACGCCGCAAACGTTTCCCAGATAATCAAACACGTAACTGCAACAATGCACACGTAATGTTATGGATAGGTGGTGTATAGCAATTCGTGCACCAAGGCACAAAATTACGTGTCAACTACGATGGACACAACTCTGAATAATTTTTCTTTGGAGTTACTTTCTCAAAATGGGTTTGGACGAGGCCAGTGCAATCGTGTTTGTATGATTTCGAAAGATTAGCGGTGAATAATTAGTTGTCATTTAAAACTCTATAAAAGAATTGAAGCATGTTGTATTCTGGACAATCATTGAACATGAACGGTTCCCTTTTGCTTTTCACTTACATGGCCATGTTTGCTGTTGGCAGTTCAGCTGGGGAAAAAATTCCGCTGACTCCGGAGGACCTGGCGACAAAAGAACTTCAAAAACTGATTGTCAAAGCCCAGAATTCATGTAACGAGGGGTTATATCCCCGCATTTGGTATGGACTATATGGGGATGTCAGTGGAACGAAGGAGGTTGGTCGATGTTTGGCTTTTCAGTAACAAATGTATTCTATTTACCAGACTAATTCTTACACAAAATACGAGCTTGAACTTCCTTTAACAGAGACGGATTGCGATAAAGCTGCCGTACTTGAGTCTGGCGTTAGCACGTTTTGCGAAATAGTACCATCTAAGGTAAGCTTTCCATCAACTTCCAGCTGCATAAATGTGGACACGTAAACTGTACTTTTTTTCATAATATAATTTCGTGCAATCCCGAATAACGATAATTACTAACAGTCATTTATGCAGCATTTTTTTACGTTTACGTGTTTAGTTATTGCTACAGCGTAGCTAGAGTCAAAGAGAGACAAGGGCTCATATTCTAGAAAGAGCGTTTTTGTATATCAAACACATACGCCTCAATATCACATTTCTCAGCCGGGATGCCATTGTTTATGAGTTAAATTCTGTTACTGATGGCTGGAAATTTTCATTAGTTGTCCACACCAAAACGAAGATCAGTTAATTTCCTGTTTTGTCTAGTTTTGCATTCTGTGAATCAGATGATGCTTAACGTGAACTGGAGCAGGAATATTTTGTAACGTACTTTCGGTTATCCTCTTTTGTATTGATTTTCGCAGCCCAAAGTGATCTGCCAATATGTGTTGGATCACGATGCCCAGACTGGACAGAAAATTATCCTGCTTAATTTTCGCCCAGGGTGACGCTGAGAAGGGACCAGATGACCAACGCCAATTCCAGAAGGTAACCAGATTCTATCAAAAGTAGATTGTATGTGACAGTAGTGAATGTTGTGTACCTATGGTTACCACTCGAATAACAGGAGCGGAAACATAGATTCCAACATTGTCCGTATCAACAATAATTCTGCCATCATTAATCGTATAGAGTTTTCCATTTTTGCTGAGTACTCTACACAACTTCTTTATTGACGCTTCTTAAGAGTAACGCATCATACTATTCTGACGCACGAATCGCAGCAAATTATGCTTCCGTAATTAGCGATCACAGGTGTGCAAAATTAGATTATTTAATGCAGTTTGGATACGCATTTTGAGCAAACGTCCAAGACAGCAGTTTTCGGTGCCCGATTTTACAAGAGTTACTCTGAACTGTTCAAGGCCACAAAACTAAATGCTTCATTCTGAGAGCCTCAAAACGGGGCCGCGTCCATTAGTGAAGGCTGACATAATCGAGCATCAGTTTGATGCGTTGGTGAACAAGATTTCACAAATATATATGATTCTGTAAGCTAGTTTTTTGCCCTGCAAGAAGTTTCGGCGTGCATTTACTTATTCATGAAGCGTGGCTTGTAAGCGGAATCCCGGTTTCGCTCGGTTGAAACAATGAAGGCGTGCTGAATCCTACGAATTAACGGTTCTTCATATTTTCTGGCTGTCGGTTCTTCCGTCGAAGAACCACATAGATTGGGACTTCCAAGCAAAATGATACGGATTCGCGCTCATTTGTTGCCCGCATCTTAGGAGTTCCTCATCAAACTATGAACTTTTCAAAAAAATTAAAATTCCGTGGAATCGCCGAATGTGTCATCATATTATAAAACGTTCTAGATCTTTGTCACTAGGCCAATTTTTGCGGTTTTGTTTCACGGGCATCCAATGCGTTGCTGCTATTAATCCGAAAGTTGATAAATTTTGACCACGCATGCACGATATCTAGCTAAATTTGGAAGTTGCTCAGTACATCAGGACAGCTGTGCTCAAGTGACATCCCTTTGCATCGATATTAAACCACCAAACTGTAAATACCTCCTGCCCGTAACCTGATCATTCTGATCGCATCAAGCATCACACGACTGGGAAGGCGTGAGTTTATGTACAAATTTACCTAATTAACGATACCTCACGCATTTTATTTTGCCGCCTAACTTCCCTTCCAGGTCGTCACCCTGTCTTCCTGGACCTCGTCCAGCATAAAATAACATTTGATCTTTTCGATTTTCTCTTTATTCCATTGTCTTTTACTCTGCTTTGCTGTGATTAACGTGGCCACAAACCGCAAAATAAATACCGAGATGCCAGAATTATGTAATTTGTTTTCAGAACTGTAGCGATGGCAGCTTGCTTGTTCTTGGTTTTCGCTCCAGTGAGCTCGCCTCCATGTGTATCAGAGATATGTCCTCGTGTGTTTCGTTCGATGAACTCTCGGGTTTGACGTCCGGATTTCGTTCATACATGCCTCATCACACCACAGTTGCCAATAACGCGAGCTTCATATCTAATCCCAGTCGCTTTATGAAAATATCGCCTGAATCTATATTTCCTCTATTCACAACTTGCTCGAGTATAATTCGTTACAAACCCGCGTTTTTTCTGACACATTACGTAATTGTTACCTTTGCACTGGCAACAACACTGGGCTAAACTGACCAACATGGCGGTCTTATCGTGCCGGAATAAGCTATTTTTACAGTTAACGGTTTAGCGTCAGGTACCTGTAGGTGAGTTTCGCACGTGACTGCTCCCACCGTGACTCATTGGCGTACTTCTAATGACTGAAAGTCCAAGGCGAATTCGCTCAAATACATTGAATAATGGGCAATATTGCGGTGTTTGTGTTTCGCCTAGGTAGAGATTCTGGCCCTATGATCAGTTATCTCGATAAATTTCACTCAATGCACAATACTCGGGACCCTTTAGCTCATGGGCTATTCATAAAAGTAGATGCTGCAGGGAAAGCTTGAATGTATATATAAGACGTTAGTTGGTTCATGCAGAAGCCAAAATCATGCAAACGGTAGGCTGGTCCGTGTCACTTGATTTGTATCTTAACATACGACTGCTTTTCGCGGCACCCGGCTGCCTAGTTTCCCGTTGGCTTGTTTCTACACAAGACACCACCACTTTTGCTGATAGTCATATACAGCATAACACTATGGCTGACTAAGTGGAAAGCAAATTAATGTTTCGAGTGCGAAAATTCTTGGATACTCAGTTAAGTTTGGATTGATATTTCCAAAAAGATGGGTGTCGAGATTCCCCAAAACTTCCATTGAAAAAGTGGTGTATGGTCGCGAAAATTCTGTTTGAAGAAACAGAGGTCGACAGAAGACATTTTAAGCACGGTGGGCGCGTTTTTGATGCTAAGTTTAGGTATTCACCTTACAGACGTCAAGTTATACATATCGCGAGCAAAGAAGCGAGATCTCCCGTAAAAATTCTCCAAAGTGTTTTATACTATTTTCTTGTTTGCATTGGCAATCGTCTTTCTTTGATTTACGTGCTTTAAGCATTTCACTCGTCCTTGTATTAGCGCGCACTTCCTGGATTGTGCTCAACTAACCAATCAGAATTGAGGCTTGTGTATGACTTGTATGTAGTTTAGGACAAAAATTATTTTTCGAATAATCGAGCAATGAGCTGCCTGAAAACGTTTAATCTGGCACGGTATAACGACTCTACCTAGGCGATCGGGTTGTGACGGGGCTGCATCCTTTTGGAACAAAAACAATACTTTGAACCACACCTAATATGGTATTCCCAGAAAACATCGGCGGGTTTATTTCGGTGATCGATTAGAGCGTTTATGGGGAATCACAGGTTGAGCCAAAACGACACCATGTATGGATCAGATTTTGGGACAAACTTGTCCGACATCTGCACCACAGTTTCATGCACATATATGCGGACCTGTTGTTTTACGGAGTTTATTCCATGAGGTGACGTAGGCCGATGGGTCTCTAACCTTCATATGCGTAGTCTGAGTAACCTGAGTAGTGTTCCATCAAAACCTACAATGCGGTGTACTTACTACTGTACCGGTGGAAACATGAGGTAGTCTCTGTGGAGCGCATTCATTCTGATTGCTTGGTGCTAAAATTTACGTCAAAGCAAAGTGGGTATGGTAGCAAGTGGCCCCATTACCTCGTTCACAATGAATTGTGATCCTTACTGGTGACATATTCTTACTCACCTGGGACCAAAGGGGAGGCAGTAATATTCGAACTATTTAGCTGTATAAGGCACCGCCGGATAAGTACTGGGTTTGTTTGTACAGGTTAAGATACCTATCCCAAATGATCTACGGATGTCTGATTGGCGAGGTGAGATTTTCGCGCAATTTTGTACGCCAATTCAGACAAGGGAATGTCGTTAATTTGGTGAATGTAGTAAGTTTTTTCTGTTGAATGCAAAAAATGGATGGAAAAATGGGACCTAATTTATGTGTCTGAAGATGCTTTCCTGAACATTTTGCTAGACACAGCAACATTTTGGCACAATTTTACATGTCATCATATGTTAGACACTGAAAATTTGCACATACCTACGTAGTAGTCGACAAAGTGAGGTTGAGATCGAATTACGAACCTTTAGTGTAGGTGAGCAGGCTCCAGGCACGGGGCTATCCCGGTCACTTATTACATAATGTGGGTAAAATAGGATGCCACATTTCTAAATGTGCTACACTTTTTAAATCTGTGATGGCAAGTGCATCGTTGGGTAGCACTTGCTTGTTCCGAAAGTACTTGCCGTCGGCCTCAACATTCTCAGAATACGAAGACGATTGTAAATTAGTTTTGGGGGGCTCTGTTCGGAAACAGTCATACTGTGAGACTGTGTGAAGTGGTAGAACTCAAGAAAAGTGAACGTCTTGAGGTTGTCGAGACACTCACTGAAACAGAAGATAAATCACTTGTGAATGGAAGTAATTTTAATGAAGACACGGAAACTGCATGTACCGCAAGCGTGCACAAGTGAACTGTGGAAATAATTCTTCATAATTCAAGACCAACGTTTTGTCAAGCACGATATAATCTTGTTTGCCAAGGATTTATGCTATCGAGTGAACTAATTTTGGAAAGTGTAACTCTGGCAGCACTAATTGATGTTGTATTCCTCCTCAACACTTTTGTCATTTCTAATCCACCGAACAACGTAGTCTTTGCGGATGGAGTTTTTCTAAACACCAGTGCAAAATGAACTCCTTTAGTGCTTTCTGCCAAGGTGAGTTGTATCCAGGGCTCCTAGGGAAAGCGCCGCTCAGGTTTCCTGAACTTGTCATTCACTTATGTAACTGACAGTTTTCTGAATAAAATGACGCCATTTTTACACCAGTCAAAAACCCATGTGAATTTGCTGCCACACGGTGCTGGTGTTGTTTGGCTCACTTGCTTCAACGCAAGTTGATGCAGCGTATATTAAAGCACGT